AACTATCACTCTAGCTGCTAAAGGATGGCCTTTCCTCTATGGGAAAAATCGGTGAGACTACTAACTCATTAACCACGCATGAATGAAACCAGATTGTGGGTATCATCAGCCTTGAATACTTGTATTTCTTTCTTTGTTGCAGTCATTGAGGACTTGATGATTGATTCCCTTTCATCATATACTGATGTTGATCCTGCAGAGGATGCAACTACCGTGGAACAGGCTTTTGGGGACCAGAGAACGGATTAGGGGAACCCGCTCGTGGTGGAGGCAAAATCTTGGATTGCCAAGGCACCCTCAGTGCGACGAGGTAGGAAGAGGTAATCCAGGGACGTCGTGCACCCTCCAAATCTCTATGGCACCACCTTGAAGAGATTGAGGAACACTTTGCATGTATTATGGGTTATCCTCAAAGGGATGGTGATCGAGATATTATCAAGGTTCTGATGAGAATCGATGGGATGAAAAAAGATGCCATCACTTTGCCTGAAAAATTTTTTGCTTTCCTGGAGGATATGTTCCTTGGTAGGGAGGAGACGACATGTCTCTGTTTGGAGTAGTCGGCCGCCAGAGAGGGGCTTCCTGCTCAGTCAAGGGATGGTGAGACTAACCTTTTAAGGCTAGGTGGAGAGTTCATGTATGAAAGATTGCCTTACCGAGGGTTTGTCTCGAGGTGAAGTTGCTTGTGATCGCCTAATGAGGTTCTTTCTCTATGAATAATTTATGAGGGTTATGTAATGTGTAAATGAGAAAATAAAAAATTAATAAAAAGCTTTTTTATGATTAATTTTACCTCAAAATTTGTTTCTAGCTTCTTACATCATTACATTGTCTTGTCAAGTTGTTTCATCTTTTCATACCTTGTATTTATTTGCGCGGTAGCGATCGAGGCCTTTAGTTTTTATATTTCCCCAGTCCTCTGCCATTTCTTCCATTCATCCTTTTCTCTTACGTGACACCTCTGATTTTTTGGCATGAAAGTTTTCCCAAGAATCGTTTGGATTGATTCTGGCTGGGGAGATTTCTATTTTTTATGCAACCAAAGTGAAGGAGATTCAAGACCTTTATGTTCTTTATCCCTCGATTCACCTTCGGACGGTGGCTAGCCATGTGATGGCCATGAACAAATTTTTTTCCGACCTAGTTCTTATGAGGATTAGTTCTAGATGGGTCTGCGACTTCCATTTTGTAGTGAGTTGTGGTCGATCTTCAATCAATATGAGATAATTCCTACTCAGGTTCTTCCGAACTAGGTGGCCGTTGCCATGACCTTCATTTTTTTCTGTTGAAGGATGAAAATTTCCTGGACGTTTAAGTTGTTCAATCATTTATTTCATTCAACATCGGTCGAGATGATTACATCTAATTTTCCATTGGCCCCAAAATTCATCCGCTATGCCTTGAAAATAAGATTAAGGATAGGAAATTGAAGTTTTGATTGCTTCTTGTAAGAGTGGTTGGAGGATCCGCAATTCAAGACCCCAAGACGTTGATCAAGGGTCAATGCATCTCTTTATTCCAACATCTCAACCCGAAGTTGGTCGAGTGTGTGATTCGACCTGACGACACTAATATCATGACTGAAGGGTTGTGGATTTCATCCAGTAATTGGGTTTTGGCTTGGGAGAAGGCCGTCCAACAACGACCAACTTTGAAGAAACCACAGGGAAAAGGTAGTCTTCCCCCATTTGGCAGGAGTAGAGTTAGATCTGCACGATCGGCTAAGGGAGATGTTGAATGTGAGAAGATGCTTGATATATTTCTTTTTCTTTATGGTTATTATTTTAGTAGTACTTATGTCTTTTATTTTGTTTTTTTCTTAAGGGAGTGAGGAGTATCCTTTTTGGATTCTGGTACTTCGTTGGTCCGTCCGTTCGTCGATGGGGTTCTTGTGAAGACTCTTGGTGGGATCTCGTTCATAAGTTTACAAGAACGCGGGAGGTAAGCCGCACCTCTCATCTCCTTTCAATCGGGACGAAGTTTGAGGGAGAGCCTGGGGCCTTCGCAAGAATGGGGATGTGACCCGACCCACAATTATGTGTATTTTTAATCTCCAAAATATTGCAAAAAACTTATCCCAATTTATATTTAGCGGCTAGTGTGGATAAATGAAATGATATAGAAAATAAGTTATAAAACTTCACACTAGATGTACTACGCAAATATATGTATCATTTCAAGTTATATATGATTTTTTTTAAAAAAAACTTCAATATCGATCCCACGTGAAAAGTTGAATTCTTTAAATTGGACTAGTGAAATTCTATCTAAATTGTAGGTAAAATGAAAATGAAATAATATCGATATGATTGCAAATGTTAAGTCTAAATTAAAGTAGAAAAAATAAATAAGATTAACAGTTAAACAAAATAAATTTAAAGAGTTTGAATATTATAAAAAGATCTTTCCCCTTGCAAAGATATATTAATATGTGTAGGATTTGAATAACTAAAAATAAGAACATTGACTAATTTAGAGTTTTTCACCAGCTTGTGTAGTAGTGCAAAGTATATTCTAGCCTCTCACCTTCAGATTACCTATTGTGCCCTCTCTATAAAACCTACTAGAGACCCCTACGATCCAAACTCTAAACCAAATTGATAAAAAGTATCTAATATGTCACTTTATAAACTTCAATTCTACGATTATCAAAACTTATCCCTCTATCCATTTGTTCTCCCTCTTAGATGATCGTAATAGCTCTGCCTAGAATGAAGTGTGACATTCACTAGTTGGGTGAACTCATAGCCCTCTCGGGTCTTTATGTTTCTTAATGGATCTTAACCTCACAAGTGGTCAATTTGTAAAGTTAATGAAGAAACGGTGAAAATGTCATCACAATTTTTTAAAGTAAAAAGAAAACTTTAAATCATTCTCATCCAATAACATTAATTCCCAAACTCAAGAAGAAAGAAATAGAACTACTCAGAATTCATGGAGAATAAACAAAAACTCATAATTTATATTGAAATCCAAGTCTTCGAAACAAAAACTTAAACATAAATACAAAATACCTTATGTCTTCTCCTCAACACATGTCTTCTCCTTTCTCCTCAACACAAATTCTGGAGTCTCCTTAAAGATTTCTCCAAACTCTTACTCTTACAAACACAAAACACACTTAAACTCACACTTAAAGACAAAAGTAAAACTACCTAAAACCTTCAAAAGCTACCCAAAAGTCCTCTTTTTTGTTCCATTTTCGTCCCTTTTAATATATCTTTGAAAGTCAGTATTTGACAGAGGTCCAAACGCTGGTTTCCAATGTGTTAGGCCCCGTGATGAGAGCCCGCGCCATGTGTCTAAATATATGAGAACCCAGCGCCACTGGGGATTGAACCAGTGACATGAGGGGACTTACAATGAACCCCGCCAACCAACAAGTCACAGTTTGCGGCACACACACACACACACACACACACATAAATATATATGTATATATGTATATAAAGAAAAGAAAAATGAGGAAATAATTATATAGTAAATATATATATGGTTATACACATGTATGTATATATTTCTTTTTCATACACATAAACAATACAATTACAAAAACTAAAGCTTGTAGTATTTTGATGTTTTCACAAAATGAGATTAGTTCACACTAAAAATAGGAAGAAACTAATACCGATAAATTTCTAACATTTAGCACAAATATCGATGCATAACAAGAATCTTAAGACAATTTTTTTAAGTAAGAAATGTTCAAATTTCAATCAAAAGTCGATTTCAACAAAATTATAGTTAAACTGATTGGCTCGATGAGACATATCCAATAATACCAAAATTGATCCAATTTAAGTCAAATCAAGCATAGATCAAACCGATAAACAAGATTTGGATGCTTTCAGTGCATAACAGGAATGTCCAACCAATTTTGAATATGACTTATACTCAAATCGAGTATATTGACAAGACAAATACAACGAGCCAAAGATTACTCAATTTTGACACGAATAAGACAGTTAAATGTCCCAAAACACTCTCCAATCAAGAAAATATTTCCAAATAGTCTGATCAAAGTGATCTGAATTTCTTCCTTATTTACAATATTAACTCTATAAATAAAAACTTACCATCCCTCTTAAGCAGGGGCTAAACCCTAAACTAAAGAAAAACCAAAGCTTGGAGAAGAGGGAGCTGATGTCCAATATTTTCACAGACAATCCAACAAATGCTTCTTGCTCTTACAACGACCAACCATCACTGCTAGCTTATCGACGTTGACCACTATCAGCCGTAGTTGACCTCCATTTATCGCCGCCTACTCCTTGCTATGAAATGTCGTGCGAAGCAATAACCGACACCGTGGAGTTATGAAACAAGCTGCAAAGCAGTGCAGCACCCCAAACATTTTGGCGACCTTAAAAACGGTGTACCGAAGCTCTAGCAATTTAAAAATTTTTTATGCCTCTATTGGTTATTATTTTATTTGTGTGTGTGTTGAAAAAAAAAAATAGTGCTAAGACGATTATTCACCACTCTACTGTTGTGAATCTTCTAACATGCATCAATCATTATTATTACCTTTTTTTTCAAAATAAAATATATTTTTCATGCATAATTTTATGACACAAAATATATTATAAACATAAATATCAAAGTATAAGTATTTGTTATGTAAATGCATATGAATATATTCATAATTAATAAACAAAGTAATCTATAAATTAATAAATTTTATTTCAATGAGCTTATCTTAACCTTTTTTTTTAAGAATTTGTTACACTATATATGTGAAGCTTTGAATTTGAACTCTTTAAAATCAAGCTTCCAACTAATGAGTTAAGGTGACTTACATTTTAAAATAAAACCAGCTTAAATTTTAAAATTTAGTAAGGCATCACCGCCAGTCCGCCACGTCTTCGAACGACCAAAAGAAGTATTTCCCATATTAATTAACCTAATCCATTATCTAATCACTCGGATTAGCGTGCCCAGTTTTCCCCGCCTTTATAAGGCCCATTCCTCTTCTCATTTTCTCTTCTCGTGTACACCTTCTCCCTTCTAAGTCCACTTCCTCTCTGCTCCGCTTCCGTTACTTTCCCTTCATTCAAACCTCTCCACTTCCCCTCTCTCCCTCTCTCTTTTGCTTCGCTCGGCTCGAGTCATGGGAGATCGTGAGCTTATCGGCGGCTTTGCTAAAGAGGCGGCGGTTTAGGGAGCGGGGGTGGCGAGTGATCGGTCGGGGTGGATGGCAATGGAGGATACGAATAGCTGCAATAGCCGGTCTGGGTCGGCGGCGGCGGCGAATCCATGGCAGCAGCAGCGGGACAAGCTCGACGTGTACAACGAGGTCATTCGCCGCCTCCGTGAGTCTGGAAACTCCGAGGCGTTTTCTCACTCCTTCGATGACGATCTATGGGCTCACTTCAACCGTCTTCCGGCTCGGTAAACCCATCGAGACCAGATCCAGTTATATTTGATTGATAATCAATTGATGTGATGATTCGAGGAAAGCAGAGACGCTGCTGTTAAATCGGTGCTTGGCTTATTCTCGTTTGCCGCAGATATGCATTGGATGTGAACGTGGAGAGAGCGGAGGATGTTCTGACGCATAAGAAACTGCTGGAGATGGCCAAGGATCCTGGGAATAGGCCTGTTTTTGCGGTTCGTTTAGTTCAGGTAATGATTGCTGATGTTTTTGGTTTTTTCCTTTGATTTTTTGGAAAAGATTGATAGTTTTGTCGTATATTCCGGTTGCGTTGATTCTTTAAGTGGCGCACTTGCTGCTGTGGGTGGAACCATTACGTATTATGCATTAATTTTTCCATAATTTTCGCCTTAATGCAGAAATCAAGTTTTAGATGGACCTATATTCAAATATACAAGGAAGTAATTCCACATGCATGGGCGGAATAGAAAAAAAAGAAGTGCTATATGTTAATTTTTTGCAATTAAATTGTATTTTTTTATGCATTTTAGGGTATTTTTGCATATTGTTGCTAACAGTGCAATCTATAATTGCTTTGAGTTAGTTCAATGTCAATTTGAATTCATTTGATCTGATCTCGAGCCAAACCAACTTTTATTGTAGGCTTGCTCGATTTTATTTTGGAAAGTCTTCAATTAATGAGTTTAATTTGGAAGGATAAATTAATTGATTGTTTTATTTTATTAATTTGATTAGCTAAAAACCAAAGGATTAAAATTATTTTAAAATAATATTAGTTTAATTAGTTTAAAATTTTAATACTAGAAATTAAATCTTTAAGTAAAAGAATATTTATTCTGGTTTAAACTTTACATTAATTAGGATATTTTTTTAGTTGAATATTTATATGAACTAAGAAAAGATGAAACAAAGAAAAATTGAACTTAATTGATGGATTATATTAGATTTATTGAATAAATTTAAAATATATGAGAACTTCATTTTGAAATTGATCTTTCACGATGTGTTAGGTTTTAAAGATAATATACCTTTTTTTCCTTTAAAATTTGACGTTAAAGTTAAAATTTGTTAAATAACTTAATTAACTAAGAAAGAGCAGTTTTTTGCCAATTAATTATATATATTGATTGAGATGTGAATGTATAGGTGGAAGAACATATGATATTGATGCGTGTTAGAAAATTCACGGCTGTAAAGTAGCAGATTATCATCTTAGCGTGGTATGAAGATTCAAACACACTCAAAGAAGAGAAAACAACTAATAATAATACCAGAATTTTTTATGTGGAAAACCCTGAGAGGGAAAAACCACGGTGACTGACCCAGCTGAAGAGTTCCACTATAAAAAGATGATTATAATTGCAATCAATTATATCACGTGTGGGAAAGATTTACTAAATGATGATTGACGGTGATCGACGATGATCGATGGTGGTTGAAGCGGTGATCGACGGTGATTGACGGTGGTCGGCAGTAGTTGACAGCGACAAGAGCGCTTGACTGCAATCGATAGTTGTCGAGGACGGTCAGCAGTAGTCGACGGTGGTTGGAGGTGGTCGACGACGATAGAGTGGTGTTGGACTTTAGTTTCTTCTGAAAGCTTCAAACTCTTTCTCAAGTCTCAAGCTCTCATTCCCATTTATCAGAGAGGTGAGACTTTATTTATAGAATTTTGAGTGCAATTAATGCAAAAATATGAATTATTTTAATCAGACGACTCTGAGGACTTCCCTCGATTGAACGACATTTTATGAACATTTGAGTGTCATAATGATGTCATAATTGAATGATTTTAGGCTCGTTGGATTTATCTTGTCAAGACGGTTGATTTGACTGTAGACTCGTTATAATCAATATTTGTTTGATCTTTCAAATGTATCTAAAAATTTCTGAAAGTTGTTTAATTGCTTGATCTAAGCTTGCTTTGGTTTAGATATGACCAATTTTGATAACATCGGATTCTTCTTGTCGAGCTGGTCAGTTTGACTGTAAGTTTGTCGAAATCGGAGTCCTAGATGACTTTTTATCAATGTTTAAAAGCTCAAAAAGTCACATTGAGATTCTTTTCATGCCTTCAGATTCGTGTCAGATGATAGTATTTTGTTAATGACATATCAGTTGTCCCTTATTTTCGGGCGATATTAATTTCATCGTCCAACAATATTAAAATTTGAAAGTTTTTTTATTTTTCATGATATGTCATTATATATATTCAAAAAGGAAATCAATATTTGACAGCGGTCTAAACATCGATTTCCCATGTGTTTTTTGGCTCCATGATGAAAGCTCGCGCCATGTGCCTAAAATTTCAGAGTCCTTGCGACATGGTGGGATCAAACCTTGACCTGAGGGGACTTATAGTGACCTATATATATATTACTAGTTGAAATACTATAAAAGTAAAATAAGTACTTATTTTAAAGAAAATTGAGCTTAGCCCAATTGATGCCCTCCTTTTGCTCCCTACGAAGAGTCTAGGGTTCGAATCCCTTGTTAAGCATGAAAAATATTATTGTTGTCGCGAATATGCAACCACTATGCAAGCTAATGGTGGGCCGCAAATATGCAACTGCGTTCTGACACAATAGGCTGCATAAGTGGGAGTGGGGAGTCAGACCGGTGGGACGTGACCGCGGGAATTTGGAGTGTTGGAAGGCTAGCTGACGGTAATTGAACCGACGCACGAAAATCAAACCACGTTTTCCAAAATTCAAACCTGTCCAGGAGTTGAACTGATGGAATTTGAACCAGCGTAGAGTCGAATCCCCGTACTGGGATCGGTTGCGGGTTTTAAACTGAAAAAGGTGAAATTTAACATATTTTAGCCACCCAAAATTTAGAATTTGAGGATATTTTTCATCTTTTTTTTGAACAATTGCCCCTTTTTATTTGTAATGAGGGAATTTGGAAGATTAAAAGGTGAATGAGGACCGACGTGAATTCGTAACCCGAAGTGAAATTTAATTTTAGATCTTAATCAAAAAGTCCTATATTACTTGATAATGATATGTATACTTGCGCAGTATCCTAACACACATATATATATATATATATATATATTAAAAGCTAGTTTGAAAAGTAATTTGAATATATTTAAAGTAGGTTAATATATTTAACTTATAATAATTTAAGAATAGAATATGAATATTTTTTTTCTTTAATACCTGAAATAATTTTTATTTTTTATTTTTAAATTTGGAATGAGGAAGGTGGAGGCCAAAAAGATGGAAGACCAAAAACTGGAAGGTGAGATGACGAGAATTAATGTAAATTTCAATTTTTTTTAATGATTTTTTTAATGCTAGACCGCCTCATAAGTCTATAAATAGATGTCATGATGAGGTGAAGAAGGAGAAGGAGAAGGAGAAGGAGAAGAAAGAGGGAGAGGGGAGTGGTTTGTTGGCGAGATTTTCCAGAAGAAGAAAGTCATCTCCGTCCTGCGTAACAGATGAGCAACGGGATCTTCTTTCTTATTGTGAGTAAGAGGAAAATCATGCTCGTCTTGCATAGCTACCAAGCAACGAGATCTTCTTTCATGTTGCGGCCAAAGAAAATTCGTCATCATCTTGCATAGTAAGAAAACAACAGGATATTCTTTCACGTTTTAGCGAAGGGAAAGTCATCCCCGTCTTGCGTAGTAGGCGAGCAACAAAATCTTCTTTTGACATTGCGGTGAAGAAGAAAGTCATTCTCGTCTTGCGTAGCAGACGAGCAACGAGATCTTTCACGTTGCAACGCATATGAAAGTCGTCCCCGTCCTGTGTAGCAGACGAACAATGAGATATTCTTTCATGTTGTGACAAAGAGGAAAGTCGGCCATTTCCTGCGTAGTAGGCAAGTAACATGATCATTTTTCGTGTTACGAAGCAAATGAAAGTCATCTCCATCCTGTGTAGCAGACGATCAATGATATTCTCTTTCATGTTGCAATGCAAAAAAAAAATTGTTCCCTTCCTACATAGCAGGTGACCAACGGGATCTTTTTCGTATCGGTGAGATGAAGAAAGTTATCTCCGTCTCTGCCCAGTAGGTGACTCGGGATTTTCTTGCATGTTTCTGCTGCACATTTCGGTGGAGATGAAGAAATGTTAGAGTTTTTCCGTCACTTTTGAGGGGGAGATTTTCATGCTTTTGTAGCAGCGATATCTCTTGTAGCCTTTGTACCAATTATTATTAGTCTTTATAGCCTTTTTAATCATCTCATGTGACATTTATAGATGATGATAATGTATTTATTTGTATGTCTTTAACGTTGCTTCTAAGGTTGTCGTGACTTCTCAATCATTTGATATTCTGCAATTAAAGTTAGCACACACATTTTATAAAATGGATAATTGCGTAACTTTAGAGGTTCGTGCCTTTCGAGGTTGTGCTCTCTCGGGTTTATGACTTATAAGAGCTTGAAATGAATCAATATCTTCTATGGTTCGTAGCCTTCTGAGTTTATTTATGTATCTATGTCTTGTGAGACTTGTAGCCTTCTGAGATATTTGATATATCTGTGCCGTCTGAGACTTGAAACTTTTCGCAGTTTTTAATGTACCTGTGCCTTTGTAGCCTTCTAAGGTCTTTTAGTAGAGGCTCTGTCAACCACTTGCTCTCTTAGTATTTTTCCAAGTCAGGTCTCTGTTCACTACTAGCTTCCCATCGAAACTTGTCTCTTGGGCTTGTCTTCCAGGAGTATGGTAAATTCTCATCGAGTCTTGCCTCCTGGGCTTGGCTTCTTGGAGCAGCGTAGCTTCTCATCGAGTCTTGCCTCCTGGGCTTGGCTTTTTGGAGCACCGTAGCTTCTCATCGAGTCTTGCCTCCTGGGCTCAACTTCTAGGAGTGCTGGAATTTTCCATCGAGTTTCGTCTGTTAGGCTTGACTTCCAGGAGCATGGTAGCTTCCTATCGAGACTTGTTTCCTAGGCTTGTCTTCTAGGAACATCATAACTTCACATCGAGTTTTGCCTTATGGGCTCAACTTTTAGGGGTATCGGATCTTCCTATTGAGTTTTGCCTCTTAAGCTTGACTTATAGGGGCATGGCCGAAAGGAGAATCCATTAAGGATGTAAGACCAATTCTGAGTTGTATAATCGGAGTTGCTCGACGGTATTAACCCTTAACGGACAAAGTCATATGAAATTCACTGAGAATAGTTGATTTATCCAAGGTTGTTGGTTGAAGCTTTTGCTTGACGACCGTAACATGTTACGGAAGAGATTGAAGGAAATTCATTAAGGATTTTGACCTATCCGAGGTTGTATGTCGAAGCTTTTGCTTAAAGGCTGTAACCTGTAATAAAAGAGGTTGAATCGAGTCCCTTTGGGATCAATTGACCCTAGAATGAGGTCATAGATGCTCTGCGTTTCTCGAGACTGGAGCGTAGGTCGCAATGGATCATATGTTTTTAGAAGTATGGATACTTAAGAATAATATTTGACAATTCGTTGTTGCTTTTGAATCTTTTGCTTCACAGTGGGGCTATTTTCTATGCAAGCTTGCAAAACAACTCATGTATCGAGCTTTGAAGAGATCAAATTCTTGATCTAGTTGAAGAAGAGCTCTTTTTTAGAAGTATGGATACTTAAGAATAATATTTGACAATTCGTTGTTGCTTTTGAATCTTTTGCTTCACAGTGGGGCTATTTTCTATGCAAGCTTGCAAAACAGCTCATGTATAGAGCTTTGAAGAGATCAACTTCTTGATCTAGTTGAAGAAATACGTTGAGAGGGCACTGAGGAAGCGTTATTTGCGACGAAGATTGTCTCCTGTTTAGGAGCGATTTTCAATGCATTATTGTCCGAACGAAATGTGAGATGACTGCCCTATCACAGTCGTGCCCGGGACGTTAACATTTAAGATGT